AAATTTTTTCGAATTTTGCAATTTTCGCCAATTAAGTTTTAAAAATTCGTATAAAATCCATTTCTTGGAATATGAGTTTGAAAATTTGTCAAAATGTTAATAAAAGTGCCCTCTTTCCAATGAACCAACACGTTTTGAAAAATAACTTTTCGTTTTTGAGAAAACAATATATGAAGTTTTGATAAAATTTTCGATGTTGCAATTTTCATCGATAACTTTCAAAATTCGATATAAAATTCATTTCTAGAAGGATCCTTGTGGTAATATCACCAATTATTAATTAAAGTATCCTCTTTTTAGAGTTGCTTCGTTAGTTAAATCAGCATCAAAAAAGTTCATGTTGTATCTTGGTTCCAAATAAGTTGACACATCAGGTTTCTTATTAATTTCAGTTTTATTCAAATATCGCAATAATGTGGTAATGTAGGGTCACTTCAAAAATGTACCAGAAATTACAATGGCCGGATAGATATGCCGAANTTCTAGTTGGATCCTTGTGGAAATATCACCAATTATTAATTCAAGTATCCTCTTTTTAATGCAACAAGCCGTTTTGAAAAATCACTTTTAGTTCTTGAGAAATAAATTTTTGAAATGATCGATAATTTTTTCGAATTTTTCAATTTTCGCCGATTAAGATTTAAAAATTCGTACAAAATCCAGTTCTTGCAATATGAGTATGAAAATTTCCCAAAGTGATAATAAAAGTGTCCTCTTTCCAATGAATCAACCCGTTTTGAAAAATAACTTTTAGTTTTTGAGAAAAAAATATTTGAAGTTTTGAGAAAATTTTCGATGTTGCAATTTTCATTGATAATTATATATTCGATAATTATTAATTAAAGTATCCTCTTTTTAGAGTTGCTTCGTTAGTTAAATCAGCATCAAAAAAGTTTATTTTCTTTAATTTTAATTCGAGTCATTTTCCATCTATTCGTTACATTTATGTGTTCTTGATTTTGTTATTATCATTGAAATCTTTTGTTAAGAGATATTTCACATTTGGTTGTTATTTTGTAGGACATCTGGTTTTCAAAACATTTGCCGCCTTCTGTAACTCCCTTTTCCATTCTACACTTATCCGATGTCTTTCCATTCAGTCTAACTGTTCGCATTAGTTTTGTGTATATTTTTGATTTAAACTTGCTTACAGTGCGGTTGTTAATGCATTCTATATGTTGTGTCAGTACCTGGCTGAAAGCTGCTAACTGCTTTTTCATGGTCCAGGAAGATTAGATTATTTCTGTCAACTGCTAATCTATTAAAAGTTATTTTGGCTCCCATGTGCAGCTTGGACGGGTTGTAACAAACTTTTGCTTGGTACAGAAGTCCATTTTAATCTCTTTTACCACAATTTCAAATAATTGTGGATTTGTTGCTGGGGTGAGATTAAGCGCAGTGTTGACTACGTCTTGAACACTTTCGTCAAGAGCACTTATTGTCCAACCAGATTTCCAAATTGACTCGAATACTTTCATGGGTTCGAGTATCCTTCTTAGCTTCGTCATAAATAGGGCTTGGAAAAAGAGCTTAATTATAACAATGACACCTTAATCTGATATGATTTCTTTTAATTCCTTCAGATATCTTAAGGCAGCATCTTTATCAATATTGGCAGATTCACCAACAACACAAATTAGTTGTGGATACTGGTTTTGTTGCTTGCAATCATAACCACAAAAGAAAAATCAAAAACAACTTGCTGTAAAATTATCTTTTATATTACATTGTTCTTTACATTGCTGAACTAAATGATAACAAAGATCCTGTCTTATTGTTAAAATGACAAAGTGGAGACACAAAAACTCTTGCTGAATGTTTATATGTGTATACATAATTTTGATTCACTCAATCTTTTCTAATATATGCTCTTTCAAGTTAAAGAGACAATTTTTTATAATTTTTTTAATTAATTTATAGAAATGAATTCAGATGAGTTTAAGATTCGTGGCAAAGAAATGATCGATTACATGTGCGAATACTTGGATAATATTAATACAAGAAGAGTTACTCCAAGTGTTGAACCTGGTTACTTAAAAGATCTTCTTCCATTGGAAGCTCCCGAAAATCCGGAAGATTGGGATGAAATTATGTCGGATGTTGATTCAAAAATAATGCCAGGAGTAACTCATTGGCAACACCCCCGTTTCCACGCCTATTTTCCAGCGGGAAATTCATTCCCATCGATTTTAGGCGATATGTTATCGGATGCAATCGGTTGTATTGGATTTTCATGGGCTGCAAGTCCTGCTTGTACTGAGTTAGAAACGATCGTTGTTGACTGGCTTGGAAAAGCAATTGGACTTCCAAATGATTTTTTATCAATGAATGAGGGAAGTAAAGGTGGTGGTGTCATACAAGTAATAAAATAAAGTCTTAATTATTGTAAATCATGTTCGATTTAAAAATTGTTTTTTAGGCATCAGCAAGTGAATGTGTTTTAGTTTGCATGTTAGCTGCAAGAGCTCAAGCAATCAAACGATTAAAACAACAACACAATTTTGTTGAAGAAGGACTTTTATTATCAAAGTTAATGGCTTATTGTTCAAAAGAAGCACATTCTTGTGTTGAAAAAGCAGCTATGATCTCATTTGTAAAATTAAGAATTTTAGAACCAGATGAAAAGTCTTCTTTACGTGGTCAACAACTTTTAGCTGTAAGTTTTAATAATCTAAAGACCCACTTAAATTTTCTATTTTATTGTTTAGGCTATGGAAGAAGATGAAGCAATGGGATTAATCCCATTTTTCGTTTCAACAACATTAGGAACAACAGCGTGTTGTTCTTTTGATAACATAGATGAAATCGGTCGAGTTTGTCAAAAATTCCCATGCATTTGGTTACACGTTGACGCAGCTTACGCCGGAAGTTCCTTCATTTGCCCCGAATTAAAACATTTAATGACCGGAATAGAATACGCCGATTCTTTTAATACAAACGCAAACAAATTTTTATTAACAAATTTTGATTGTTCGTGTCTTTGGGTTCGAGATAGAATCCGGTTAACTGCGGCTTTGGTCGTAGATCCCCTTTATTTGCAGCACGGCTATTCTGAAAAATCAATCGATTATCGGCATTGGGGAATTCCATTAAGTAGACGATTTCGTTCTTTGAAATTATGGTTCGTAATGAGATCTTACGGTATTTCGGGATTGCGAGAATATATTCGACATCACATTGCTTTAGCGAAAAGATTTGAAGCAAAAGTTTTGGCCGATAAACGATTTCAAGTTTGTAACGAAGTGAAAGTAAGGAAATAAATAAAAAGATTTTATTTTATCTTAAGATTTAATTAAATTTTTTTAGTTAGGTTTGGTTTGTTTCCGATTAAGAGGAACCGATAAATTAAACGAAAAACTTTTAAGTAATATTAACGCTTCCGGGAAATTACACATGGTTCCCGCTCAAGTCCGTAATAGATATATAATAAGATTTTGTGCTGTGGCTCAAAACGCAACAGAAGAAGATATAGATTACGCTTGGAAAGTTATTGTGGAATTTGCCGAAGAATTATTGGAACGACAGGAGATTGAAAAAGAACAAGACGAAGTTCTTGATATGTTGGATAGAAAAAGAAAGGAAACTCTTGCATATAAACGATCGTTTTTTGTTCGAATGGTTAGTGACCCAAAAATTTATAATCCGTCGATTGTAAAGACTTTATCTGCTGATATGGCGACTACACCACAAAATAATACTGGAATTACTGTCCAAATTCCAACGTAAGTAATAATACTCGTTATCATATAATTTATAAAATTTGTAAAAATTGACAGAAAGTGTAATTATGCAACCAGGTAAACATATTTAAGATCGAAGGTTTAAGAAAACTTGGGTTACATAGAACTGTAGTATTAAGCAGTGCTTAAGAATGAGACAACATCTTCTTCTTCTTCCTCAGCCTGTATTCATCCACTGTACACATACGCATTTTCTAAATATCTCCACTCATTTACTGTTTATATCCATTTTTTCCCCGTCCCACTCCTCGCATCATCGATCCACCTCTTTTGTGGTCGCTCTCTTCTAGTTTCTCATGGTTTCCAAAAGGCCACTTATTCTTTGTGTCCATTTTTCTGTGTTTTCTCTTACCACATACCCGACCCATTGCCACTTAAACCTCACTACTCGACTCATAACATCTGTCACTTCTGGTCTTATACGAGTCACTCCCAGCATCGCTTATTGGGATACACTAAGTTGTTCTCCAGTTTTCTTTGTCAAGACCATGGTTTCAAATTCGTATGTAGTCACTGGGAGAATAGCTTTTGTTTTAAGCTTCTCGTATTTCTTTGCTTTTTAGTATAAAACTGAGTGTTCTAAATGATGCTCATAATAGTTGAATCCGTCGCTTTATTTCGGCTGTGAGATTATCTTTGCCAATTTTAATACTGTAGCCAAGATATATGTACTGGCTTACATTCTTAAAGGAGACGTGGTCAATGGCAACATCATTGTTGACAACTAGCGACCACAAACTCATACGATTTGAGATAAGTGAAAAATGAGGAAAATAAGGGATTTCTGATATTTGGAGTGATTAATTATAAGATGAGCAGAACACAAAGAACTAACAAAGCGTTATCAGAGTGAATCAAGAGAGTGATAAACCATGCACTAAGGGAAAAGGACCTAAATAGTTAAAGTGAAGTTAAAAATGACTACAAAACTACCATAAGAAGCACAAAGGTAGAGATCTTGAAAACTTTGTTACAACTTATGTGGAATTCAATCTTTGGGGCGTGCTCTAAAATATAAATTGCAAACAATGGGAATAACAACCCCATGTCGTGTTTTCTTCAGGTTAAAAAAAGATTTAGTGACTTAATAGATTCCCTACATTTCCAGATAATAATCAGGTAGACGAAGCATATTTCACATTTCAAACTAAGACACTAAAAGGAGGAACCGAGGAAACTGCAATACTAGAATGAGCATGAAAGGGTCAAGAAAAAGATCCCATCAACTCAAGATTAATTTGCCTGATGAATTATCTGGGAAATTTTCTGGAAATTACTATACGAAAGAGTTCAGAAGCATAGGGAAGGACATAGAGGACTGCATCTTGGACAATACTTGTGACGTCATCGCATAACGTGCTGAACCCAGGAATACAGGAAGTAAATAACGCAGATAAAAAACACAATCCGTGATGGTTGGCCTTTTAAAATGTAGTTTACATTGGAGGCTTACAAGAAACTAACAATGGACTGGAGATCTATCAGGTGTGTAAATATGAATCCGGAATTTGTTCATAGATGGCCATAGCTGTCAATGTAGTTACCACAGAATAGCCAGAAAGATTTCTGGGAATATCCCGACAAAACTGATTTTTCTGCGTCTGTACGGTGACATCATGGTTTAGAGGGATCACCTTGTTGTTATTGGTGGTTAAAACACATATATTACCAACGACAACAAGGTGTTCCCTCTAAATCATGAGAGAGGTCACTGAGAGTATCCTGCCAAAATTGATTTTTCTGCGTCTGTGTAGTGACGTCATGATTTAGAGGTTATACCTTGTTGTCATTGGTTGTATATGTGGTTTAACCACCAATAACAACAAGGTCAAATCGAGGTCAAAAAACGCGGTTCCTTCAACATATATTGTTCTGTGCCAAGTCAGTGCCCTTTCTGGTTATTCTGCGGTAGTTATCGCCAAACAACTCTTGGATAAATTAAATATGACACGAGAAGCCATCTCCATACTGCCTCCATACAGCCGTTTGAAAGGTATGCGAAAGATTCAGAAAATGGAAAATGGGTTCTACATGAATTGAACGAAAAACGGTTAAAAAATCGAAAAGCCACTTGCGAAATGCTACTCGGCAAGTACAAAAGGAAGTCAAAGCTCCATCAAATTATGACTAGCGATGAAAGATAATTCCTGGCGAACCATCGACATCCACTGTCCACACCAAATCGCTATGGACAGAAGACAATGCTCTGCGTTTGGTGAAATTAGCAGGGTGTGATCTACTATGAGCTGTTAAGATGCTACTGACAACGCTCTGAAAAACGACCAGAATATTAAAACAGGTAACACAAAGTGATTTTAATAATGAACCATTACACATACAAAATCGTGCAAAAAAATGATTGCGGCGTTCAGCTGAAATACTTTTGTGTATGACTTACTCACCTGACTTGGCTCCGTCCGATTACTACTTATTTGCACCAATGAGATACGCACTTGCCGAGTAACGCTTCACCACTTCTTATGAAAACGGTTCGATGACTGGGGTACCTCAAAAGAGTAACAGTTTTTGATGTGGCATTCACAAATTGTCAGATAGAAGAAAGAGAGTAAAAACAATAATATTCTCGAAAGAGATAATTGACTTTATAGCAGAATATGGTCCTCTATGAAAAAACAATATCAACATAGTAAACGTGGTCTTGGAGTGTGTAATAACCGAGGATGTGTTGCGAAACGAAGAAACAAATCTGTATCAAGGACATAATTAAGACAACGAATATAAACTAGGAGAAGGATTTACTTAAGAGTGATAGGTAAAATTCAATTGGAAGGGTTAGGAAGGAAGATATAGTAACAACTGGAAACGAAGCATGGGTATTTGCATAACACGGCAAAAAGTTTGGTTGTCAAAACATGGCATAGTTTATTATGTAAATTCACTAGACACTACGGTTGCAACAATATAATACTATAATATGATGACTAAGTTGATATAATATTAATCACTGAACCTCAGCCGCAAGCGACGTCGGCTTAATTAGTAAAAAGATCTTCAACTTCACCTAATAAAGGACTAGTTTCAGGTTGATATACATAATATAGTCATATAATATAGTCTCGGCCGCAAGCTACCTTGGCTTAATTAGTCAAAAGATCTACAATTTCATTTGATGAAGCCGAGGTCCCTTGCGATCGAGACGCCACAATATGATGACCAACCTGATGACCAAGCTTAATAACTCAAAATCTGCAAAACCCTACAGATAGCTCCTGTTAATGCTAGATGGTGCAGTAAAAACACGATATCTAATTCTTTTTGGGATGGCTTTTTCCTCGTCCGTATGTTTAATTTGTTTTTGATCTAGGAGGGGTTATGCCTCATCGGTTAGCATTTTGTTTAATGATGGAGAATCATCTTAACGTGTTTTCAGAGATGCATAATCTTCACCATCTATATATATCCAGACATATAAATAGTATCCAGATTATGTATTTGTAGAAGTGTTGTCTCAATTCGTGAGCGTGATTGTTCGAATCCATCTGGTTTATGATCTCTTCTCAAGTTGTTAAGACTCTTCCATCTATTAGACTATCAATAGATTTACTTTGTGCGAGTTTAGTTTTTGCAGTTTATAATCCTAACATTATCATGGGTAGAATTTCAACGCCCTTTGGTTGTGCGGAGATGTTTGGAGCATGTAGTTTGGAACATGTTTGAAAAATTGGGATTGAAATGCTCTGGTCCGAAGGCTTTTGTAATTGGGGATGCTTCTATGTTTTCTATAAAAATTACTTTACTCCAATATGAAAATCTATACACGCATGTAGACAATATTTTTGCCTTTTTAACATGGATGACTCCTTCATAAGTTCAGGATCCTTTGTTAATTAGCATAGGTATATGAAGTTTTCATACTTCAGCAACATAAGATATGCTTAATTCGAAATCAATTTTTCTCATCTTAATGAGCATTGCCAAGATACAACTTTTTAAATTAGTTTCTTACTCAAAACAATTATGGAACAATTTAAGAAGGTTAATGTGGTGATAATAGAAATAAATAGAATGATTAAGATTCAGATTCGTTGACTACAAGTATTACTTACTAAAATGAAATGGTATTTACATGTTAAAAAATATTAAAATTCATAAAGTATGGTAAAACTGATAATCAAAATTGATAAAAGTTAGATTGTCCACAACCTAATGCACTCTCCAGAAGTAATAAAAGTCATATACTCGACAACATAAAAAATTTAAATTGTTAAATTGTTGTTAAAAACATTTTAACATGAAAAATAGTAAAATTACTTCTTTTCAGCCCAAATCATACATCTGCATCATGGATAAGTTGGCCTTTGGCTTTTCTATTACAAAATAATCATAAACAAGCAGCTAGTGATGTTCCAATACGGTAATTAAAAACAATATTTTATGTTTCCACAAATCGAACCAAAAAAAAAAGATTTTTCTTAGTAATTTTTATCATTTTCCTCAAAAGTGTACGTAACAATTACGCATTTTCTGTTCTTATTAAAATTGATGATGGTTTCATTAACCTCTCCTCCAATTGAATTTGATTAACATTTTGTGGAAACATTCATAAATCTTTTAATTCTTCCGTCCGCATTTTTATTAATTGCGAGTTATTTCAAGTAGATTCCGTCATTTGGATACAAAGGTTCGCTTGAAACCAACAAAAGGTTCACAGTCACCTTCACCGGAAAGAGATTCTTCGTCACCATCAAAAACTCTTAACGAAAAAGGTAACATGATTCACTAAATCGGAATTTACCAAAAAAAAAAAGAAGTAAATAAACGAGAAGATTGAAGTAAAAAATTAAATGTCGAAAAACGCTTCATATTTTTAATTTTTTAGTTTTATCTTTAATTAAACGTAAGCGTAGGTGTGATTTTCATTTTCGTTAAAGAATTGTTCGTTGAGGAAATAAAAATAAAATGTGTAGGATTAAAATTAAAAATTTAAAGGACACGTGTCGAAAAAAAAAACGTTCACGGTCTACTTCTTTGTCCATATTAATTTATTAATAATCTTTTATGTAATTTTTTAAAACCTATTTTTACATTAAAATCTCCACAAATTAACCACACCATTGTATTAATTCTAAGTTATGTAATTTTTGCTTGTAATAAAAAAAGAAAAGAACAATAATAAAAAAAAAAATAAGAAAAGGAAAGAAATCAAATCGTTTTCGCAATTATCTTGTCATGGTATACCAACAAAATACTTAAATGCAAATTTTCCATTCAATGCACGTTTTTATTATCCTTGCTTTTTTTTCCCGCGGGGATTTAATTTTTTTATTATTTTATTGTTAAATTTGATTAGTCACGTTAGAAGGGGGATGTTAGAAAAAATTATTTTAAACTTAAATGGTAAGTAACACGCATTATTCGTTTCTTAGAACGTAAACTTTTTGGTTCCGTTATATTTTCACCGTAAAACGCGTGTGGATAAAGGTGCAGAACACATTTTTAAATTAATTTATAAAAAAAAAGAAATTAATTAAAATATAGTAGAGCTTAATTTATATTAAACATAATATTAAAATGTGTTTCCAACCTGAAGTTAGCCACAATATACGTTCAATATTAGATATTATAGATGAGATAATGAAGATGATCAGGCAAGAAGAGTAGCTTGTCTAAGATGATATTGCTGTACTAAAGCTTTTCTATTCTGTAATCCATGATCTGTAGTGATGTTATCTTCTTGTATTTGTTTAAGATTACATTGCACTGATCATAGAACTCATAATTCAAGAAAGTGAGATCAAATTGCATAAATCACAGATTTTTTATTCTTGAAGTATTTACATTACACGATCTTGTAATGTTTAATGTAATAATAAGTGCAGATCATATACTGCATGTTTCAAGAATATCATTTTACGCAGGTTATAGGTTTCAGACTTCCTTTTCAGATTTCCTCTTAAATTTTGAAATCTTTGACAATCTTGGACAAACTACATAATATATTAAAAACTGAATGTTAGTTTGAGTAAAGTTTGTACAGTAAAGTATTGAAGATCTGGAAGTCCATATAACACAAACTTCACGCTTCTCAAAAACTCCTTGAAGCAATTTACGCCGATTTTGGACTTTTGAAAGATTGCATGATTTCAAATGGAAGTGATTGTATTCAGGATTTTAACGAAGTTAGATGCCAAACATTCACAGTTTGAAATCTGCCGTTTTCTTCGTCAAATTTGGTCTAGTGTGATTCCAGATTTCTTCTTCTATTTTGAAACGTATAATATGTAGTAATGTTATCTTTTGTAGATTTTCAAGATCTTTTTAATATTGAAATCTTGGAATTACATCATACTTTAAAACTGAAACACTGTATATAAAAATAACTGTATCCTCATTGTTACTTGGAGTTTGTACTACTTCACTTATTGATAACACTGGTCTACAGTGGTTTTGTTGCCCTAGATATAAGATTGATTTTGGATATATTTATACTCACAATTCATGAAACTATCAATGATTTTGTAAGATTTGCTCTCGTTTTTTTTTTGATTTTTTTTTTTCTTTTTCCTTTAAAAAAATCGGAAAATAAGAAACAAAATAACAGATATATTTATAATGTCAGTTTTGTTTTGAAAAATTAGGATACATTGAAGTAAATAGAGAGGAAAATGTCGAAAACATATGTTATATTTCCATAAAACACTTTTTATGAGCTTTTCTTTTAAAATTTTTCAGGGGAACTCTCTTTTTAAAGAACAGCAGTAATCTGCCATCACGTGACAATCCCATCGAGCCTGATACCTTTCCTCCATCACTTTTAGATCCTGGTGGAACCGCTTTCCCTGTTCCTCACTATAATTTAAAAATTTGCAAAGATATCCAGGGTACCAAAATAAATTTTTTTGTTGTAGAGCAGTGTAATGATAGATAGCAGATTTGATGGTTTTTTGAATGTCCAGTACATCAGTATTCAAACTTTTCGTAGAAGTACATTGTAGTTAAAAAAATATCAGATTTTATGTTTGATGAAGAAGATCACATTTCCAGTCAATTTTGATATTACACAGATTGCTTTTCAAAGTTGGTCTATCTATTTCTATTGCTTTCTGGAATCTGTGGAGTATGATTCCAAAGTTTTTCTTAGAATCTGACTTCTATGATTTGTTGTGGTGTTATCTGATCGAGTATCTTTAACATCACATAGCATTAAGCACATATTTTGGAATATAAGAAGATGACATGAATCATTAAGCTGAGTTAATTCATACAGTTTTATCATATATTACAAATTCCAAAAAGAATCATAAAGTATAAATCATTGATTTCAAACTCCTTAAACGTTACAGAACCAAGGCTTGAAGCGGAGGTGCATTTTAATTAACGATCTTATAGATATCAAATTCCAAGCTTGACAAAAACGTTTATGATTTACATCAAGTCAAAACATTACACAGACTGTCTTCTGGAATCTGTGCAGTGTGATTTGCTTTGTTGATGGTAATTCCAAAGCTAACCAAACAGTATGTGATGAAGAGTTTTATGGTGAAGACGTAGACTTAAAAAAGGTTTAGTGTGTTGGTCATATTCAGAAATGTATGGGAATCAGATTAAGAAGCTTAAGGAAAGAACTAAAGCAGCAGTTGGAACTGACTTAGGAGACGGAAATTGTTCCACGCTGACTGCGATAAAGCAATTCTAAAACTACTACAACTTCAGCAATCAGAAATAATACAGATTCTATAGAAAAGATGGGAACTGGCATACTTTTATGTATTTTCAACTGATACAAAACCTTCCCATCAGCTTTGTCCGAACGATGAATCAAAATGGTGCAAAACAACGTGACCTAACTCAAAAACGCAGTGAGGTTCAAAAAGGTTATAAACACAAAACATATTTTGATTTGTTTAAAAATATAAAGCTTTTAACAAACCAATCTTCACCGATTTGTTTAAGGCAGAGTTTCTGAAAAAATGTTTGAAGGCAGAAAGAACTACATTTCAACAATAATGTAGATTGCATATTTAAATAGGGAAAATTTGCACGCTACTTAGCTCATAGGTTCACACTATTATACATACAAGAAAAGATGTACTTGGTTTGCAGCAGTTGTGATTAAGTCGACTTATTTTTGTATAAATTGATTAGCGCATTGGTTCACTCGCCAGAATCGTTTGCATCATCGTTTTGTGTCTTTCTGTCAAATGTTAGTAAACTTATTACTATTGTACCATCTTACATATATGGCTATGAACAGATAAATAGAGCTTATTTTTTCTACAACTTTTGCATGTCAGATTTTGTAAGATCTTGTATAACATCAAAAGCTATAAGCGGTATGGACAATTTAAAAGTAAAAGTATAAAGATTAATATAGAAAAGCTGTACAACTAACCATCATTATGTGAACCACCAAGACGAAAAGCCGTACAACTATTATGTGAATCACCAAGATAGCTTTCTACCTGTGTTCGCATCAAACTGCATCAAGAATTTCGTTAAAAGGCTCAACCGTGAGACTCAACTTTTCATTACTTAATCAATTTCTTATCCAAATGGCCATTAGTAAAAATCAAATGAGAAATATTTGGTGGATCGTGACATTCGATAATTAATGGCAAATTTTACAAAATGTTTAAGGACCTTAAGAAACGGCAGTATAGATATCATTTCAATGTCTTATTCGCAACATCCTCGAAAATCCCTAAGTTTTAAGGATGAATTTGGCACCATGCCAAGATGTAAACAACTACTTTTTTTAATAAAAAAATAGCACGACAATGTATTTCGATGAACAAAAACTGTCAAGGGTCCAAACCACTTATTTATGGCAAAACCATTAAATACATAATTTCCCTGGATATTGCAGACATAGAGGTACTTTTGATAAGTGTGTATTTTTTTTGTGTATGTTCTGGATCTGAGTTAATATTCAAAATCTTACGGATATTATACGGTTAATGAAGCTGGTAGAGTTTGCATAACTCTTTGTCATATATTGATAGAGGGCTACACTTGTTCTGAGTAAATTAGGTCGGAACAGTTTTATTTCTAGGTATCCTCTTAAATAGAAGTTTCAGGTTGAATAAAGCATTCGCAACATTCGTTGGGTTTCTAGGGAAACTCAGTGGAAAGCAATGGAGTTGTGAATATCGCTTACAATTAATAGTTGCTGCATTTTCTCCCTCAATCAATATCAAAATATGGACAGATGATTTCAGCCGCCAAAATTGCACACCATACCATTCATTCCTAGCACAGCATCTGAAGTTTGGTTTATTAACAAAACAGGAGAGGTGGACGTGCGTCTTACTGATAAGATGCTACTACTAGTTACGTCATTTTCTTTCAATCTGACAAGTATAATCTCACAAAACGAATATTTTGTTGATTACCACTTGGATTAAGAGATTCTACAACCTGCATTTTATAAAGGTAAAATCCAAGATCTTGGACAACTTTTTTCGTTGATGTGTCACTTATTCCAAGTTTTAAGGTATGACGAATGGGTGAAGCATGGATTTAAAGTAAATCGTAAGCAGTGCAGGTCACTACAGGTTTCTTATTCGCCATGAGTTGTTAACACCATTTCAAACTTTTTGTTTCACTGGCGGATCTTGTTTTACGAATCTTTAGTCTACAGTTTGAAACACTGATGCCCGTTTGCACCGTAATACATAAGCATTGCTTAAAGGCTAAGTAATGCTTAAGTAGTGAATTTGCGTTGCACCGTCAAGTAACCCATTCTCAAAATCAATAAGACGTTCTCAAATATAAGTATTTGAAATCCAGTGCTTAAGTTGTTCTCAAGCGCATACGTCAAATAGACATAACCGC